CCAAAGAAATGATGCACTTGTGGTCAGGAGTTTATGAAGAGGAGCCGCGATAGTGGCGAAATCACGGACAAAACGGCGGAAGTAAGAGGCTAAGCCGAGGAAGCTGCGAAGGTCTTTGAGCGTGGTGGGCTTAGGAAAGTGCAGCACAGCGGCCACTTTGTCGGGATCAGGTTCGATGCCAAGCTTGCTGACAACGTGGCCTAACACTTTGATGCTGCGGCTCGCAAACCGACACTTCTTGGTATTTAGCTGGAGACCGGCTTTGGCTAGACATGTGAGCACCTCGTCTAGACGTTCTAGGTGTTGCGAGAAGCTGGATGAAAAGATGACGATGTCATCCAGGTAACAAAGACAGGTCTTCCATTTTAGGCCACGCAGCACCGTATCGATCATCCGCTCAAATGTGGCTGGGGCATTGCAGAGCCCAAAAGGCATCACATTGAATTCGAAGAGACCATCAGGAGTAGCAAACGCTGTCTTCTCTTTATCAGACTCATGCATCGGGATCTGCCAATACCCAGATCGTAGGTCGAGACTTGAGAAATATTCTGCACCCTGTAAGGTGTCAAGTGCATCGTCAATTCGAGGCATAGGATATACATCCTTGCGCGTAATTTTGTTTAGTGCCCTGTAATCAACGCAAAATCGCACTGATCCGTCCCTTTTCTTAACTAGGACAACAGGAGAAGACCAAGGGCTTGTGGAAGGTCTGATAACGTTGCGTGCGAGCATGTCATTGACTTGTTCCTCGATGACCTTGCGTTCTGAAGACGACACGCGGTAAGGGCGACGGCGGATAATACGAGAACCGTCTGTGGCGATGTGATGAGAGGTCACCGTAGTTTGACCTAAGCCATCCGAACAAACGTCAAAACAAGTCTTGTGTTTTGTTAAAAGGGCCATTAAGTCATTAGTTTGCGTTGGAGTGAGATATGGACTCAAAGTGGCTTTAAGCGCATTAGATGAGCCTCCTGGTGGCGTACACTTAGCGACTGACGGCGGAGACGATACAGTGACGACACATACCGGTGCTATGTCGATAAGGCTGGCAACAGTGGACCCCTCTGGCAGTAGTTGTGGCTCTGTTGTCGTGTTGTAGGCGGTGAGACTGGCATGACCACGCGAAAACCGCACTAGACAACATGCGATGGCGATTCCTCGGAAAATGCAGCGCTGATCGGGGACAACCACTGCGTCACCGTCAATGGTATCGCTGGATCTAATGGTGAGGATACGTTCTTGGGCCGGGGGCAGTACAAAGTCTGCAGCTGCAACAAGGTGAGGCGACGAAAAATCGTAAGCACTAGAATTTTCAGTGTCCGTAATGCGAATAACGGGCGGACCACACGAAATGACAGCGGAAGCGGCTGACAGGAAGTCCCAGCCCAATATAATCGGATGAGCACATGAAGAAAGCACAGCCAATTGTATATGGTGACGAATTCCGTCGATCAGAACACGAACAGTGCATTGTCCAATAGGGTAAATTCTATTTTCATTAGCACCACATAACACCGGACCAACATATGGAGTTTGCACTTTTCGTAGACGATGACATAGTTCGCGATCAATGACCGAAATGGCTGCTCCAGTGTCCACGAGTGCGTCAACCGAAATGCCTTCTACACAAACAGTTAGTAAATTTGCAGGGCGCGCAGGAGGAATTGGGACACTTCGACGACAGGCAGTTTCTCCTCCAAAAACTGCAGCTGCTAGTTTTCCGAGTGGCTGTCGAGGGGCATCAGGGCAGAACGTAAAGGCGAAGTAGTACGGCGGAAGGGCGATGGTGAACGACGGCGGGGTGAGCGGGAAGAACGAGGTTCACCGTGGGACAAAGGAGGCGAAGGCGAACGTCGTGACGAGGGAATGTAGGTTCCTGGAACGTAGGGGTCAGACCTCGCAGCCCGGTCATTCTCGTACGAAGAATAACCTCGTCGTTCATCTTGCTGGCGCCGACGGCAAAAGCGGGAGATATGTCCTCTTATGCCACAGTAGTAACAGACGGGGCGCGTAGGGCGCCAGGCAGGGAAGTGTGGTTGTGGTGGTGCCTTGGCTGCCATCGTGGCCAAATGGTCGTATACGACGTCCGTAGTTACAGGTGGAGTAGGTGGAGGAGGCCGTGACACGACTTCGGCATACGTAGGCACATGTAAGGGCACAGGAGGCGGGGCACGTGCGACGCTCGTCATCGACGCCAATTCGTCCTTTATAATTTCCCGCAGGTTAGGAGGGGGTGAGCGGGCAGGTGAAGTCGGTGCGCTGGCAGGAACAAGGCTGTGAAGTTCCTCTCTCACTATGGTGCGAATTAGAGCTCGCAGCTCATGCTCGCCAGTAAGACGAGTGTCATAGGAGGCATGTGGAAGGCGCATTGAGTAAAGTGCGTCCAGGCGCTGGCAGGTGGTAATAATGTCCTGAACTGTTGTCGGGCTCTGCATGACAAGAGCATTAAAGGCGACGGAGTTGATGCCTTTCATTACTTGCCGAATACGATCGGCCTCCGGCATGTCCTTTTGGGCGCGGCGGCAGAGGGCCAGAACGTCTTCAATGTACGATGTGTATGATTCGTCAGGCCCCTGGATGCGGGTAGCGAGCTTCTGTTTAGCTACCTCAGAGCGTCCTGTAGAAGTGCCGAATATTTGACGCAGCTGCACCGTGAATGCTGACCAATCAGGAAAGTCGCGTTCGTGGTTATGATACCACGTCTTAGCAACCTCCTTCAGATAAAAGGGTACATAGCGCAGCTTATGTGCCTCATCCCAGTAATTGCAAGCACTGGTACGGTCGTAACTGTCCAGCCATTCTTCTACGTCCTCACCGCGAAGGCCAGAAAACACTGGAGGGTCTCGTTGCGAGGTACTCACGGTGTGGTGAGGCCCAGCAGGCTGAGCGGGTGGTGCGAAGAAGGCGGTAGGGGGTGGGTCGTTTTGCGCCATCACTGTTGGCAAGCACAGCCGTCGACCTGATCGGAGCTCCAGGGGTGACCGGTAGTGCACGAGGACTTGGGGATCACAGCACCTCCACCACTTGTGAGACGACGTCAGGTACGAAGGAGCGACCGTTTTATTGTCAACCCAGACGCGCGAGCCAGCAACCGAACAAGCAGCGAGCCGCTACGATGATGATGATCACGGTGCTTTGTATGCGCAGGTGAAAGTGAAAATGATGAGCAACACAATCAGCGCTCACAATATATATATATATATATATATATATATATATATATATATATATATATATATATATATATATATATATATACGTTATGTTGAACGGAGTTGTGTATTTTCTACGAAGTCATGATCAATACACTGACAAGTTATAACCAACTGATGGTTCGCAATAGCGGGCTAAGACATTATATTCTCCATCTGTAAACGACGTCATGACAATCATAGCACCACATTGTCGCCTGAGAGGTGGAAGGCTCAGACATTACCACTCGCTTGTCATTATTGTCATGGTTACGCACTCACATATATGAGCACAACAAGTCAGTCTAGTTTCCTCGTTGCGCAATGTTCTGTAAAGTATTTAATCACTCCATCATCTCAATTAACGAGGGTGTTATAAAAATTTTCATTAAGTGTGACCTCGACAGCGGTCACATGCAATGATATCAACCATATAAAATCAACCTTTTCAATGCGTTCTGCTAATTTATCGCCTGTACTTCCAACATAATTTGCATTATTTTATGAGCTAATTAAAAGAATGTAAAATTTTCGTCACGTACGGGTGACCCTTTTTTACTTCATCAGTGGTACCTGTTCATAGCAATTTTAGATATATCGCATCAATTAATGAACATCATTTTTTGCTCACTTAACATCCACATCGTCAATATAATCCTAAATAACGACAAGGTAAGGTGGAACTGGCTGGATGAAATGTTCATTTTCATGCTCATAAAGATGTACTTGTAGCTGCGCAAAAATTAAACACGAACAGCGGCAAGCATAAAAGTTGACATAGCGCGCACCGTCCAGTCATCACCATTGTGACGTGAGCAGCAACTCGGTTCGAGAGCACTGCGGATGCTCATGTTGAAGCCACTGTTTGCGTTTGATTTGAAGCCGGTAGCACGTTTTGTCGTTACTGGCTATAAATATTAACGCTGCGTTTCGAATTTACGATGGTATCGAACGAGCGCAGTCGGACAGCCCTAGAGGCTTTTACCAAGAAATCTTTACGATCTTCAGTCAACAAGGAGGATTCGTCATGTTCCGAGAAATCGAACTACAGCGATGTCCGTTTATGACGACGCCATGTACGTGCCTTGGCCCCGATGACTCTGACATGCTCACCTTGGTCTTGGTACGTTCGGGAGCTGATTCAGCGAGGGGGTGCGAGTGAAACATTTCTTGAAGACCACGTTGGTAATACGACACCGATGCCTAATTTTCGTGAAGTGTATCCACTTTCTGCGTATGCTTTCGAACTGATAGAAGATATTCACAACGCTTGATTTACAATTCTTAATAGGAGATATTCACATTGCAGACGCGTCGCCATCTTTAGTAGGGCGTAGGTCTGAAGTTGTCTGCAATAGCGACTATATAAGGAGAGGCCACGGAGAGGCTCAGCAGTCGTTGACTGATATGTCAGACAAACAAAAATGCGGTTGTTTTTCTTCTAAAATGCAGTACAGAATGGTCAGCAGACATCTCTGTGCTGTAACAAAGCGACGAGAACACAATATCGCCGTTCCACCTGCCTTAACACTCGTCTTGAAAAGGCTTCAACGGGGGTGACCTACACGCCATTAGTGTTATAACCGAATAATAGCCTATCCCCAAACCAAAAATCAGTTGTAAGTACACTCCACTAACCAACACGTTTTCCACGGCACAAGCACGTGAAGATCCCCTCGGGACATCTGTGCACCCTCGGAAAAGACATGTGATGCAAACACCGGCTTGCCAAGAGTGCTGCAGCACCTAGCTGCTCATGAAAGCCTTCCAGCTACTGTATGTATCTATCTAAAGAACATCCACCGAGAGGAATAAAGGAAAAACTTTTTATTTGATCATAGACACGAGTGCTATCTTTTAAAGAAGCGCACCACGCTGAGATTCCCTGCTGTGTAGATTCTGCCAGATTGTTTTGCTTATGTAGCTTGTTTCTGAAAAGAATAAATAAAAACACAGTTTAAGTTTGCTTTCACATAATAAATTTCAGAAGAGTAAGGACTGTCATGGGAGCAAACGATGCGGACGCTGAGAACCACTGCTTCACAAACGATGTATAATTTCATATTAACACCTCCTAGCTTGATTATAGCCAATTTTATTGCATGCCTACATTCTTTCTAACTTTACCCGGGCGATAAAGTGCCTGCATATCACAGCCTGTTTGCATAAGATTTTACTGCACTCAGTATTTCAAACATTGCTATGTACTACAATCTTTAAGCAGCTTATTTTAGAGTGCACTATTCTTTCACGAATGAACAGTATCGACAATTTACAAATGCTCGGAAGGTTGCCTTTTGCTTGATGTACAGGAGAACTTCAGAATAAATGTACTTACACTTCTTCTTGCGGAGGAGAGCACTGTACTGGAGAGGAGAGCCAAGGCCATAGCCATAGTTGAGACCGTAGCCAAGGAGACCATGGCCGTATCCGTAGTGTCCAACACCATAGCCAAGGCTGCTCACTCCGTAGCCGTAAGCTGGGACGGCGTGGTGAATGGTGGCGACAGCCGGAGCATGGTGGACAGTGGCAACGGCTGGAGCAGCGTGAACGGTGGCAACTGCTGGGGCGGCGTGCACAGCGGTGACAGCTGGAGCAGCGTAGGTGACGGCTGGGGCGGCGTGCGCAACAGTGGCAACAGCGGGTGCGGCAGCCACAACTGGAGCAGAGCGGACGACGCTGGTGACAGCCGGAGCAGCGTAAGTCACGGCTGGAGCGGCGTGGGTAACAGTGGCAACAGCTGGAGCGGCAGCCACAACTGGAGCAGAGCGGACGACGCTGGTGACAGCTGGAGCGGCATAAGTCACGGCTGGAGCGGCGTGGGCAACAGTGGCAACAGCTGGAGCGGCAGCCACAACTGGAGCCGAGCGGACCACGCTGGCGACAGCCGGAGCGGCATAAGTCACGGCTGGAGCGTGATGAACGGTGGTGACAGCTGGAGCAGCGGCTACGACTGGAGCAGAGCGGTACACGCTAGTGATGGCTGGAGCAGCGGCATATGTGTAAGCTGGAGCGGCATGGGCAACGGTCGCGACAGCTGGAGCGGCGGCCACAACTGGAGCCGAGCGGTAAACGCTAGTAACAGCCGGAGCGGCATAAGCCACGGCTGGCGCAGCGTGGGCAACGGTGGCAACTGCGGGAGCAGCGTGGTACGTGGCGACGGCTGGAGCAGCGTGAGCTACCGTGGCCACAGCAGGTGCATGGTGGACAGTGGCGACGGCTGGAGCAGCGTGGTATGTGGCATACGTGCGGGCGACAGCAGGGGCATAGCCGAGTCCATATCCGGTCAATCCAGAGTAGCCAATGCCATGAGCCAAGCCATAGTGAGTAAGACCTAGGCCATAGCCAAGGCTTCCGGCAGCGGAGGCATAGGAGGCCAAGGCAAGGAACACGACGGCGCGGATCTGCTTTGGGGTAAATAGTAAGCGAGAGATTTTTTCAGTTGTATCGAGATCACACGCACTGGGTAAGAATATGAGTAAAGTTATGTTTATAACAAATTCCTTGGTACTCTCAATGCAAATCATTTTGAACAAGTAGAGTGCAGTAAGCTAGGTTTGAGCAGTTCTTTAGTCATGGTAATCATTGTAAGTTTTCTATTTTAATTCGAGAGTAGTTCTGATACATATTGAGAGAACTTTTCGCTCCTTTAGGGAATATACGTAGTACCATATAATCGTTCAGCGGCAAAGTTTAAAGTCAAAATCAAAGCTACTCTTCCGCAAACTCTGCCAATGAAAAAAGTTTTGGCCCAAATGATGAAAAGCCTTAGAGCCAGATATTAACTGTCGTAAAATCACTTGATTTTTCGCTGCGTATGACTTACAAAAATATTGCATGCTAAACAGCAAGTTTTACGTCTTCAGTGCATGTATCTCCCAAATTACACCGTGTGATCATAAGTGGTCTGATGAAATTTGCCTCTGTCTAAGTGCTTGATGTCAGTATCCTATATACTTTAACCGATTCTTTAGAGGCCCATGAATGAACGTCCGAAGTGAGGCCAGAATTCGCGCATATGAAGAGCACTCAGATACTTGGGGTAAGCACTGTTCGCTGGGTAGGCAAATGTCCTTTTCTAGCGGTGCCCATCACTATTTCTGCTTCAATATCAATATGATTGATTAGGAAAACTTTTTCAGCGTGCTGTTGCAGACTAAGTACGGCCTGAAGAAGTATTCTTGCGCCTCCTGGTCAAACGATATTTGGCGTTATCCCTTTCGAGAACGGACTCCGAAACAGTGAAAATGCGCTCAAAAGTGTCGGGTATCAGTATTTACCATGGCTGGCTTTGAAGTGGTGCTGAGACGATCAGCGGAAGCGTAAAGACTGCGGCTACAAAGTGGCGTTTTTATACCCAAAAAGTTAGGATGCGGGGTAAGGGTGAACCAGTGGAGAGAAAGTGGATTCGGGTGTGGAACCACAACGCGATTCGAATGATGCACTCGCCAACGTCTCTCTCAAGGCACGGTGGTGGCTTGATGGGCTCAAAACTGAGCCACATGAAAAAGAGACAACAAGGTCGCACGCAACGCGCGAAAGCCAAACAAAATCTACACTGGCGGAAGAAGAGCATATCGATACGATGAAGGCTGGCAAGGATTTTTGCAACCATGAAGACGGTGAAAGGCGACTACAGAGATGCTGATTCTGGCTAGCCTTGCGAAGGTCAACAAGCGCGGCCTTTCTCCAGCCTCGCGCCCCAAGATACTTGACTTCTATCTATTTTTTTTTTTGTGCTTGACGCCGCGCTGAAACGCTTTTGTGCCTGTGAGGCGTGCGGTGCTCCTCCTTGGAAGATAGCGTTTCCAGTATTTCATCGAGTGTCATGTACTGCACCTAGTGCGTGTAAAGTGGCGCACGCACAGCAGGAAATCGGCAGTAAATGGCGCCTTCAAGGATGCGAGATGAAAACTGGGCCGGCAGTAGGCGTAGCAGCTTTGGTGCATTTAGTTCAAGCGGGGTGATGACAGTGCACGGCAAACCAGCCTATATTGTTGTCAGATGTGGGTAAACAGAGATGAATCGCATATCTTTTCTGGGGAAGGGCGTCTTCAATCAGTGAATCCAGCATCGTGCTTTTTTTGTTGCGCTTAAATTAGGCCGCAATCTAACAGGAACTTGTTCGCGGGATGAAGGAGCATGCTATTGAACTCGAAAATTTATTCTGGCATGATAAACGGTGGCAGCGTTGTGAAAAGACTATCTCTGGGCAAAGATGTGCGTAGTTTGAGGAGCAAATATTTTAAGTATTGTGAATGTTCTTATGTTTGAATTTCCAGAATCACTGCGAATATTCCACTGGCCGTACTGAAGGTCTCTAGGCAGTAATTAAGAGATATGAAGTGATGTCAAATTATACTTTTGTTCTTAAACATGAATCAACATGATGTTCCTGTTGTCTCTGCTATCCAAAACTTCTCCATCTTGTCTATAGAACGCAAGAAGAGCAAGGAGGGGCGAGGGGGGGGGGGGCTTCATAACGTGGCTACTTACCAAAAGGTAAATTATTGTTTGGCTGCGCTACCAACGCAGTTGAATGGCTGGTAAGCAGGCCGAAAAATTAGGAACGTGTGCCTATCCTTGTGGTTACACGTAGAAATGGAGTGTCCTTGCTATCAGTTCACTGATATTTACAAGTGTTTTTTTTTTTACCACCACGTTTTAGAAATTACACTGAGAGGGAAGGTGAGCGGTTCAGTATATTTTCACGTGATAACTTTGTAGTCTTCACCTCTTTGAAAAATTATTGTTGCCATCGATATCTCAAGCAGCATGCATCTTGCCAGTTAAAACGGTAATATCACATAGTTGTCGCGCAGTCAATTGACAGCGGAGCGACTTTTGCTTTATTGACGACTTCAATTACTTTTGTTGCCTTTCTGTTCGCTCTTGCTATGTCTTGTGCCTTCGTTTCTTGATTCCCTTCTACAGGGCCAGCTGCAGTTTAATTTCGCGTTACGATGTGTTCGGTTCGCTTAAATGGTAACCTTTTTTTCTTATGTCTTTGCACTGGTTTACTTAATATGGGGGAATGTTCTAATCGATAGGGAGCAACGTCACATGTCACCACGTATAAAGTTTCCACTGTGGCACTAGCCACCTAAACGTGAATAACGTTTTTTTGGTCTGGTTATAAGTTTTCTTTTAACGATTGCCACGTTTCCGGTCAATATCCCAGCGTTGTTGTTCGCCACGGATACGAGAACCTATTGTAATTTATGAGAAGACGTAGACGCCAGGCTCTCTCTCATGATTCAACCATGGCCATATAAACGTAGATGATATAAAAGGTGGACCTGATGGTTATTCCATCAAAATCACGCGATATGACAGTGTGTTCGCAAAAGTAGATGGGCGTTGAAAAAGTCAGGATACTTTGCAAGCAAGTGCATAGCACGTTTCAATTTTTCTGTATGTTTTTAATACAAAATTGCACTTGATGCAATTTTCTATCCGGGATACAATATGGGAAATACATATTCTTACATGGGAAATACATATATACTTATATATACTTATATATACTTAAATACTTATATCGGAAACACATATTCGAGTATCGAAGCCTATGATTTCGTTTTCTAATAATAATTGTCGGGTTGACCGTGCCGAAACCCCGAACTGATTGTAAGAAATGCCAAAAAGCAGGGCTCCGGAAATTTCTACCCCCTCGTGCACTTTAAGGGGCAACTAATTCCAAGTATACGGGCTTCAAGCATTTTCGCCTTCACCAAAAGTGTAGCCTCCCTCCCTGCCCCCTCTCCTGCAGCCCCGTATTGACAGTTTTCCTTTACCTTTCCTTTGTTATGGCGGAGAAAAGCGTAAAAAGCGTAGACACGCTAGCACCGAAGAATTTCTCTTCCTGCCATTTTTTATTTACTTTTATATATTATACCGCTTAGTGACTATATACCACATGTCTGTTGCAATCGTCTTAGCATATAACTGCAATATATTTCTTCTGAAAAACGTACTCTTTCAAAATGTGCTCTGAAAGTCTACACTGATGTGGGCATGCAAATTCCTTGAGAAATCGAAAACGAAAGCTCAAGGTGAATTAGTAAGTCAAGTGATTTCGCTTGCACTTCATTAAAGCATATTTATAATCGAGAAATCAGTGTATGAAGATAATATTTCAAGCTTTGCTGGTGTGATGAAACAGCCTTATTGTGTGCCAGAACGAATAATGTACGGACGCCCATATTCAGTGAGGGGCAACTTAAGAGCCAACACTAGTCCAGCGCACACGACATTTTCTGCAGTAAAAGACACAGAATTTGTAGAACATTGAGTATTACCATGCAAAAAAATAAAACCACGGTTCACATCTTTGTCATAAGAACAGGTAACAACCATGTGTTTAGAGGATTATAGTTGACTGGGTATTGTGCAATGATGAATGACCACATATTCAATACCTATAGGTTTGACGGCAATCAAACCGTCAGACGTGGATGCAGCCAAGTTGACGCCTAGGGAACATCTCCGTCCCAACGGGTAACAGAAGGTGTCGTGATTTAAGCCTAATGATATTGAAGTCGTAAACGCCCACTGCACATGTTCGATTCCGCGCAAAGATGACATTGACAAGCGTGTTACACTGGTACCTAATATCCACTGATTAAACACCTAGATGCACGTTCTCAATAATAGGGTAACTTTGACCTGTGCCCATGCATATGTCATTAAGAGCTTCGGCAGTGTGGGAAGTAGAGTTCGTAGCTTGAGCCGAGGATGCTGGAGAGCCTATCGGAGCACTCACTGCCGGCGTTCGCCAGTGTCACCTACGCAGTTCTTCACTTCAGCGATCCCACAAGGTGACATCGCTCTGCGTGAACCGGGATCTTAGAATAAAAGAGAGAAGGAGCTGTCAATACAAGACGCATTTGTGAAGCTTTTTAGATGCGGAAGCATCTTATACTCGCGCCTTGTAGTGCGCCGTCCGCGCCGTCCGCGCCGTCCGCACCGCTTCTCGAACATTCGACAGCTGACGCGCGCGCATGCGCCGTCGCCCACCATCTGTGCCGCGCGCGCTTCTCCTTCGAGAACATTCGACAGCTGACAGCGCATGCGCCGTCGTGCTGTATATATACTCAAGGTCGGTGCTCGCTCACTCAGTTGCCGCTCGTCGGTTGGTTTGTACGGCGCGTCGACGTCCAAGGTCGCGGTGAAATGAATTCCAACGAATCCACAAACACAATGATCGACGTCCCTTCGACCAGCGCCGTCCTTTCGCATACGTGTGTACGTGTTCACTCATTTAACACCCCCTCCTACAACCACGTTAACCAATTGAGCCATCGACCCAAGTAAGTCGCAATTTAACACCCCATTTCACAACCACGTTAACCAATTTAGCCATCGACCCAAGTAAGTCGCACTTTAACACCCCGTTAACCAATTATATGCTCCGCATCCTCCTCAGTGTTCCCCCGAGGGAAGCTGCGGGCAATTTTTTTCATGAGCAACTGGAGCACACGCGGTAAAGCATCCAAATCCCACGATTGTGCATTCAGTGGTCATGGGTTTGACTGCCAGGTCATTCAAATTTTCGAAACTTTTCTTCTTGTTTTTCTTTCTCACCTGCCCTTTACTGACGAACTTTTGCGGCGAAAGTACGTTCCTGAAGTCTTCGTGGACAACAGCACAGGGCACGTTCACGTTAAATGAACCATGCTGCCTTGGTGGGTAAATGTATATCATACAAAAGAATCACCGCTTCAACTATCTTATGTAACACTTGTGTGAAGTAACAAGTTATGTGTGAATATTTCCAATGTACCAACACATTAGTTTGCACGCTCGGGTTTAGTACACTCTATTTTACATCATTCGGAATGTTTTCTGAAATTAAAATATTTACATTTACCAATTACTCTAAAGACGAGAAGGCAGAACAAACAGCATATCCGCACGTGTTTCAATTCTGTGGGAGCCACATGAGAACATGCCTGGTAGATTGAAAAGTATAGTCTCGGGGTTGGTCAAATAAATACTATAAGGGCTGCATGCACGGCTTGTTAAGTCAAATCAACCTTCAAAGCGCTGCAGTGGGGTGGCAAGTGCGTGCAGTCACAAAGTTTCGTTTCATATTTCGCCGGATTTTATGAAACTCTGAAAAAAAACATACCTAAGTGTGTAATCATCTCGCAAAACATGAAACAGCGAAGCTCGACAATTCCTAAATCTAATCTGGCTGCTTCAATAGGTTGTTGCTAGGTTGGTTTTAGTTTGTACAGAGGCTTCAGCTATGTCGCGTAGATTGCTTCTAGGTTTCTTCTCAGTGCAGAGATGTTCGAGTTAAACCACAGATAGTCACAGACCCGGCACGTATGCGCA